GGGTTTAGGGTTTAGGGTTTAGGGTTGAGGGTTGAGGGTTTAGGGTTTAGGGATTATTTAGCCGTTTGGGCTTGGGGCCTGAGGCGTATCTGTATGGCCTTGAAGACTACAGATCACAAAAGACGGCTGCCAACTACATTTCATAGCCCGCCAACCCTAAACCCTGAACCCCAGCTGCAGGCAAAAAAAGCTCCAACCCCAAACTGAATTTTGGAGGGAGGGTATCCCTGCAAGCGGATGCCACAGGTTCTTGTTAGTACCACAGCCTCCAAGGCGTGAATCAACAGTTTCTGCGTCACGAATCAGGGGAGCCGGGGGTAAGGCTGCTTATGTGGGCCCTTAATATGTATAGCCTTTTTTTACCCTACAGAACCAAAAGGCCCATACATCAAAACCCTTCGAAGAAAGTAAAGGAACATATTCTGGTACCGCGCAACTTCCCGTAGATCTAGGGTTAAAGGGATGAAGTGCCCTGTTTCGTCACGCTTCCCGAGCAGCTTCGGAGAAATGGGTGCCCTCTTTCTTAAACTCGGAATAGGGTTTAGGGTTTAGGGTTTAGGGTTTAGGGTTTAGGGTTTAGGGTTTAGGGTTAAAATCCAAAAGAGAGAACAAGGGTACTACTGAGCACTCCTGAAGATCACAGCGCCTGCAAACCCCACCGCCCACAAAGACTTAAAGCTGCAAAGTCCTCAAGCCCAAAACCTTCAGGCCCTGAAGCCAGTAAGCCCTAAAAACCCGAAAGGCCTCAGGTCTCTAAACCCCAAAACCTGAAGATCCTTCAGAACCCTCAGGCCGTACGGGCCCTTAACAACCCTCTAGAAACTCGAGCTCAACAAAAAATCTAACCCCCCCTTCAAAGACCCGAACTCTAAAATGACCCTCAGCCTAAACCCTAAACCCTAAACCCTAAACCCCAAACCCCAAACCCCAAACCCTAAACCCTAAACCCTAAACCCTAAACCCCCTCCCCCCCCCCCCCACCCGGTGATTAGGTGCCCGGCCCGGCAGAGGCCAGGAGCGCCTCGTGGGCTTCAGGGTTTTGTTCTGGGCTTAGGGTTTCTAGGGTTTAGGGTTTAGGGTTTAGGGCTTAGGGTTTAGGGTTTATAGGGTTTAGGGTTTAGGGCTTAGGGGTTAGGGTTTAGGGTTTAGGACTTAGGGTTTAGGATTTCGGGTTTGGGGTCTAGGGATTGGGCTTTAGGGTTTTTGGGACGTCATAAGTTTTAAGGTCTCAGGATGAAGATGCAACAAAAGTTGAGGGCTTAGGATAGAGAAGAAGGCCTTGGGGTGCAGGATGCAACAAGGTCCGGGTATATGGGGCTTTAGGATGTGGGGTCCTAAGGGCTTCGCAGCTTCGCAGCTTCGCAGTCTGGGTGCTCTTTCAACGGGGCTTCGCAGCGTTGTTTTGCAACAAGGTCGTTTCCAGAAACAAGGACACCCCTGTTTGCCGGATGCTTCAAAGGGACCCCCCCCCAATATTTTTCGGAAGCATGCTTCCAGGGATTTGGCCGTGGAGGGCATGTTCCTGAAGCTTCAGCTTGCCTTTATAGGCCCTGAACCACCAAGCCAGCGAAGAGAGGAATCCCGTCCTCAATCTCTGCGTTCTCAGGAAACGAAGGTGAGAGATTTGCGACTTGTGCTTGCGTGCTGGCAGTGCTGGCTCTAGGACTGAGAGGACCCTTACCCTAAACCCTGCACCCTACGTACACCCTACACCCTAAACCCTACCCCCCCCAAAAAAAAAAAAACAAAAAAAAAAACATAGGCCCCGAACCGCCGGGGCCAGTGTCAAGCCCCCAAAAAAAACAATAGGGGGAAAAAAGGCGTTTCCCGCCAGGTGAGAAGAACTCCAAGCCCCTAACCCCCCTGCTTACCCAATCCTAAACCCTCCTAGACACTCAGGAATTAGGCTTAAACACTTAGGAATTAGGGTTCAGAGGCCCTTCATAACAATGCGAACCCTCTGAAATGCTTAGAAATTAGGGTTCAGGAGCATTGCAGAACAATGCTGAATCCTCTAGTACTGGTTTAGGGTTTAGGGTTCAGGGCCCCTTCAATAACAGTCCTAAACTTGAACAGCTAGGAATTGGGGTTCAGGGTTTAGGGATTAAGGTGCTCGTGGTAACCTTCTTAACTTGCGAATTAGGGTTCCGGGTTTAGAGATTAGGGTACTTTTCTAGGATGGGCCTTAAAACCCTCTGAAAAATATTCCTGAATATGATCCTCTTAAACCCAATAAAGGAAAATGTAGTATATCCCAAGGGCCTACCTAGCTTTGGTAAGAAACGAGCCCATTCTGAGGCCGACGGCCCCATCCAAGCCGAAGCACATGGCCGAGGCGCCTCCCACAGAAACACACGGGGCCTTCCTAAACCCTAAACCCCACATACTTCCCTCTGAACCCTAAACCCTAAACCCTAAACTCTACAAGCCCCCAAAAAAGCTGCCTACAAACCAGTGCGACCATGCTCATGTTTTCATGAAGAAACACGGGACCAGACACGCAAGAAAAAAGGCAAGCCACAACGGATTCTATATGTTGTGCGCTATCATGCCACGAAACCCTTAAACCCTCAACCCCCAAAGCCTGAACTACCTACAGCTTACGCCGCGCACCCTAAACCCTGAACCTCTAAATCCCGAACTCCCCACGGCCAAAACCCTCACATCCCTAACCACCCTAAACGCCCAAAACACCCAAACCCTAAGCCCCTCAATCCTGAACTCCACACAACCTCGAGCCTTCATCCAAAACCGCCTAAGCCCCACAACCTTAAACCTGGAACCCGCTTCTCCCCCCGGCCCCCTTCTCCCGTCCCAACACCCAAAGCCCTAAACCCCACCCCTAAGCCCCCTTAACCCTTAAACACCCTAAACACCCTAAATCCCCTGAACACCCAAAAACCCCTGTCAACCCCTCAACCCCCTCAACCCCCCTAGCCCCCTGCCCTAAAAACCCCCTAAAACCCCCCTGAAAACGCCCCAAACCCTAAACCCTAAACCCTAAACCCCAAACCCTAAACCCCCCCGAAAACAAACCTGAGCCCGATTCCGGCCTTCGAACATGGCTCCGAAGCACCTTGGAGAGGTCTCTACTCAAAACCTCCCCCTTCTCCCCCCCCCCCCCCCCTTATCAAAAACGGTTTAGGGTTTAGGGTTTAGGGCTTAGGGTTTAGGGCTTGAAAACACACAAAAAGCACACAGAGACACACACACAGGGCTCTGGGCTTAGAGTTAGCTTGAGTTTGTGTTGCGTTTATGTTGTGTTGTTGTAATCGTAATTGTAAATAAGCATATAATAATGTTGGTATATGTATTTGTTTTTGCATTTTTTGGGCAGGGGGTCACTTTTTGAAGGACGTTTGGGCTGACCCTGTCAGCAGATCTTGGCTGCTAGGCCTACAGGCTTTCCAGGTTTTTGGGGGAGCGCCTTGTATGTGTACTGCAGGGCTGAACCCTAAAACCCAAACCGCAAGGGCTCAGGTTCACCCCCTAAACCCTAAACCCTATGTGTCACAGCATCTTAACAACCCGAAGGGTTTAAGGTTTAGGGTTTAAGGTTTAGGGTTTAGGGTTTCGGGTTTCGGGTTTAGGGTTTAGGGGGTTCCTAGCTCTCAACAGGGCAAGGGACGAGATGGAGCCCACCAGGGCACCGAAGGCCGTGGCCGTCGCTGCGGCGTAAGCTGATCGGAAAGGATGGCATGGGCGTTTCAGGGATTCAGGGTTTTCGGGTTCTGGGCTTGGGGTTTGGGGTTTAGGGTTTAAGGCTTGGGGTTTAACTAGGGTGTCAGGGTTTCGGGTTTCGGGAGTTCGGGTTTAGCAATTTTGGGTTTAGGGATTTAGGGTCTAGGGCTTTAGGGTCAGGTTTACGTAAGGCTTCGAGGTGCAGGTGCAGTGTAGCGTTTCCCGGCGAACCCCTGAAGCAAATCGACCGTAAACCTTAGGCGATACATCTTTGGCGCGATACGCACTCCAAACTTCCACAGTGGTCATCACCCTCTTTCCCTCTTCTTTGAGGTTCATGGTACTTAGTAACTAATTATTATAACTGTACTTATAACCCAATTATAAGTTACCTAGGCTATGAGTACTTGGGTTATATGTACACTTATAATTTGCTACTAAGTACCATGAGCCAGCAAGTTTAGCATCAGCTACAGTTCACAGCTCCCCCCCAGAGCAAGGCAAATCTACAGCCTCGACTCAGATGATGTTGTTTCAGTACGGAGAATTCTTGGGGCTAGTTTCCATCCACCCCCCCCCCCTGGGTTTATCACTGCAACGAGAAAGGAGCTAAGTTTAGATAAGCTACAGTAGATACACACACAAATATATATATATATATATATATATAAACAACCTTTTATATGCCCTAAACCCTAAACCCTAAACCCTAAACCCTAAACCCTAAACCCTAAACCCTAAACCCTAAACCCTAAACACTTTTTTGAATATTTCCAAACTCTAGCTCACTCCTGAAAATAACCCTGATCTGAAGCGGCCTGTGTGCTGGCTGCCCAAGGCATAGGCGCCCGGATAGCCAGAGCCTCCGTCGACCAAAAAAAGCATGTGGAGAGGAAACCGGGGTTTTAGGGTTTAGGGTTTAGGGTTTAGGGACACGTCGCAGCCCAAACCCCCAAACCCTAAACCCCAAGCACCTAACTCCCAGAAGCTAAATTCCAAGCCCTACACCCCAAAGCACTGAAGCCTCAAACCCCAAAGTGCTCAACCTCGGCACCCCCGACCCCTCTAAGTGGTCCATCCTGCTCGAGCCCTAGATACCCTCAACACGAACTACCGTGAAAAAACACGAATTATCCTTTCAAAATCCCCTAAACCCTAAACCCTAAACCCTAAACCCTAAACCCTAAACCCTAAACCCTAAACCCTAAACCCTAAACCCTAAACCCTAAACCCTAAACCCTAAACCCTAAACCCTATCAACCCTCAACCCTGAACCCTGAGGACTCGAAGCTGGGCTTGGACGTCCCTTTCTCTGTGCTCTACGACATTTGCGTAGGATCCGCGTGCGCCCAGAAGCCGGCACCTGACCAGGTTCAGTGGGTTTAGGGCGATTTAGGGTGTAGGGGTTTAGGGTTTTGGGTTCAGGGTTGATGGTGTTTCTTGATGAAGGGGGGGGGGGGGGGGGGGTGTTCAGGGTTTTGGGTGTAAGGGTTATAGGGAGGAGGAGTTCAGGGTTGATAGTATCATGCTAGGAGGGGTAGAGGGTCGGGCTATGGGCCTGCAGGCGGCCCTAAGGGCGTACAGCGTTTAAGGCTCAGAGGGCTGTGAACCGGAAGCCTTCCCAAAGGAGTACCACCCCCCCCCCCCCCAGAAAAAAACATGGGGAAGGGTTTAGGGTTTAGGGTTTAGGGTTTAGGGTTTAGGGTTTAGGGCTTAGGGCCCGAAATGTTCCGAATAAGGAGTGGCTGTCAAGAGGGGCGGGTTTGGGAGGCTGCGGCGTGATCCCTGTTGTGGGGCACACTTCACAGGGCTCAAGGGCTTTAGGGTTTTGAGGCTCAAAGGGACTTCATGATGATATGCCTTGGGATGTTCGCCCTTATACGAACAGCCCTTACTAGGGGTTTATCATAGGGGGGGTCCTATGATCCCAATTAGCAACGATCTCGGGTTCTTTGGACCTGAAACCTCAACCTCGAAGTTGTGATGAGATATGTTGTCGGGTTCTTAAGGGAGGGGGGTTCGAGGGGGTGTGTAACCCAAGGTTCCCGACTACTCCCCACTACGCGCTAAGGCTCCCTAATCTTCCCTAAGGTTCCCGGGTACCTAACCCCGCTTGAACCCCCCCTCCCTTAACAACCCTAAAGATACTGCGACTTGTCCTCTGTCGGTTGGCCGTTTTAAACCCTCTGGTTCCTGGTATGACTCTCTCGAACCCACGGGCGGTGAACGAAGCCTATCAAAGGGAGATGCCGGATACCAGACATCTCAGGAACCTCAAAACTCCTGGTCTTACACCGTGTGCCTGGCACAGGTTCCACCCCGAGCCATAACCCTTAACCCTAACTAAACCCTCAACCCTCAACCCTCAACCCCCTCAAGCCTCAACCCTCAACCCTCAACCCTCAACCCTAAACCGAAACTATGCCGAGATGCCTATGAGCGCATAGCCGAGGATGAGCATGGCCCCTTTCAGCCAATTCGCCTTTCAAAACGCCAGCCAAGCCGTTCAGTTGCAAGGGTTTAGGGTTTAGGGTTTAGGGTTTAGGGTTTAGGGTGGGTATAGAGTTTAGGGAGGGCATTTAGGCTTCAGGGTATAAGCCCGGGGTTCATAAACTAGACACAAGAGGAACCTAGGAATAAGAAAGGGCCTTCTTTGGTTCAAAGGGGCTGAGAAGGGAACGGGAATGGGGCCTACTCGGCCTCCACATGGCACTAGAAAATCTAGACTTGCGACACTGCCATCCACTATTCTGTGTGTAACACGGGAGCCTCTTCCATTTAGCAGGGCTGTTCATCATGCGTCTGCAAGGGGTACTCGAACCCGAACCCTAAAACTGCATCCTAAACCAGGTTTGGGAGCCAAACCGGGACAAACCAATATCATCCCCGATCTGTTTATAAATGAACACTGCCCCCCCCCCCCCCCCACAAAAAGTGCCGACTAAAGCGATTGGCCCCTAGATCCTAAACCCTGGCTACATTGAATAGGCCCCTGAGTTCGAAAATGAAAGGGTCCTAACAGTTGGGCTGCGACGCCTTCCCATCCATCAAGACGATGGCGATGCAAACGGAAGTGAGAAGCATGGTCGCCGTCTCGAAGAAGTGGAAGTTCATCGTCATCCTGAAAATCTGCTAGGCATCCACATCATTAGGGTTTCGGGCTTAAGGTTTAGGGTGCAGGGTTTACAGTTTAGGGGGGGATAGGGATAGACTCGGAGTTTACTGTAAAGCTTAAGCTCTCAAATCTTTAAAGTTTAGGCTCTTTTGGGGGTTACTGTTTGGGATCTTATTTCTTTTGTAGCTTATCGCGAAGCTGCTTAGGGCGAACATCTTGGGATGGCTACTGGGATGTTCCCCCCTTATAGTAAGAGTCCTTGTCTGGGGACTACAATAGGGGGGATACGACGATCCCTACTAAGCCCTAAACCCTAAACCCTAAACCCAAAACCCAAACCATTCCAAGTTTTGGGTTCCTTTTGGGTTTTTGTTGGGGGCTTTCAAAGGCCCGCAGGGGATTGGAAAAGTTGGGGGGGCGCTTTCCTGGGTTGGAAATGATTGGAAAGAGCCCCCAGGTCCCCTAAAGGAGCAAGCCTCTGACTGCATGTCCTAAAAACCCTTAACCGCCCCTAGGAATGTAAGTTTTCAATGATGGATCCTACAGCACTGCCACCGGGGCAAGGGATCAATTTAGTCAGGGCTGCAAATATGGGGGGTTTACGAGATTAGGGGTGCCTTATTGGGGTCCTTATGATGAGGGAATCCTACTATTTGGGGGGGTCTATATTCGGGGTCCCCTAAATATTTTCGTAAACTCCCATCATATATCCGCAGGCCTATGACGGTTTAGGGGCGCATTTTGCATTGCGAGTTCTTCAAAGGGAAAAAGGTGCCGTACATACCCACCAAGAACCTTTCAAGACACGCTGGGGCACCTACCGCTTGCATTCCCTACTAAGAACCCGGTAAGCTCGAACACCCAAAAAATCCTGAACCTCAAGCACCCCGTGCCCCCGAATCAGAACCTAAACCCGGGTTTAGGGCCCTAAACCTTAGAGCACCCTAAACCCCAAGCCCTAAACCCCAAACCCTTAAGCCCTGAACCCTGAAACCCGAACCCTGAACCCTAAACCCTACACCCTACACCCTAAACCCTACGGCTTCAGGGTTAGAACTCAAGAGCCCTGATGGCACCCCTGCATGGCAAGTCGCGGCTTGTCAAGCATCCAGCCAAGCACAACCTCAGAAGGCTATGGGTTGGTTAGGGGTTTAGGGTTTAGGGTTTAGGGTTTAGGGTTTAGGGTTTAGGGTTTAGGGTTTCGGGTTTAGGGTTTAGGGTTTGGGGTTCGGGCTTTAGGGCTTTGGGAAGGTTCGGGGTTCAATGCTTCAAAATGGTGCATTTTTGAGTGTTCGTTTTGGGTTTGGGAGTTTACGGTTGGTAGGGCTTGGGCTTTTAGATCTTAAGGCTTGTAGGGTATGGGGTTTTCAGGACTTGGGTTAAGGAGTGGAAGATTCATAGGATAAGGTTAGACATGTATGGTTTATAGGGTTCGGACTTCAACATCCCAGGGAACAGGTAGCACATGGAAAGTGCTCTCTGTTGTGGTTTATAGGGTTCCGGATTTCATGATACCAAGGTGTGTCTTAGGCTTGCTACATGGTCCCTTAGTATGGGCCCAAATGGGGACTCAATGATGGTACCCCTTATATACCCTATACAGGCCAATTCAGGGCCCATACTTCAGAATCCTTTACAGGAGGTGAGGGACAATATTAAGGGACCATGTAGCGAATGCCAGCAACACTAGACCACTATCATTGTTAACCACTAAACCACTATCATTGTTAAAGGAACCCTTGTCATTGTAAAAACCTTTTTTTCATGGTTAGAACCCCTACTCCCAAGTAGCTACACTTGCTTAAGGTGTAGGTGGAGTACGCAAGTGCCCCTATGCACGCAGGCTGAGGTCTCCACGCACAGAGGTATGACGAATACCTGGGCTGCCAGAGGGTTTAGGGTCTAGGGATCTGGAAGTCGACGCCTGGGTTTAGGGTTTTAGGGTTTTAGGGTTTTAGGGTTTAGGGTTTAGGGTTTAGGGTTTAGGGTTTAGGGTTTAGGGTTTAGGGTTGGGGTCTGGAAGTCAACGCCTGGGTTTAGGGTTTAGGGTTTAGGGTGGCCTGCTCTGCACGTCAACCAGACTCTCACACCCCCAAAGGAACGTAAGCACTTCGCCCAGCTTTCTGAACCTAATTGCGCTGGAAGCCCTGAGCCCTAAACCTTGAGAGAGAAAAAAGCCGTGCACCCCAAACCCCAAAACCCTAAACCCTACAGCCTAAACCCTATATGGCAAACCCAAAAGCCTAAACCACTGTCCGTCCCCGTGGACCCTCAGAAAAATGCTCCTGACATCTGCCACGGCAAATCTGCAGCCTAACCACCAAGCCAAAAACAAAACCGTAAGCCCAAAACCAAAACCTCACCCCAAGAAGCCCTAAACCCTAAACCCTAAACCCCTAAACCCCTAAACCCCTAAACCCCTAAACCCCTAAACCCCTAAACCCCTAAACCCCTAAACCCCTAAACCCCTAAACCCCTAACCCCTAAACCCCTAAACCCCTAAACCCGAAACATCCCTAAACCCTAAACCCTAAAGCCCAAACCCTAAACCCTAAGTCCACCCTAGCAGACATCCCAACAACCCGGCTGGGCGGCAGAAATCTGCACCGCTGACCCGACAGCACTGCCCAGAGCGATCCTTGGTGAGGAAGAATCATCCGAGCGAGAAGGGGGTTTAGGGTTTGGGGTTTAGGATTGCGGGTTTAGGGTTTATCCCTAAACCCTAAACCGTAAGCCCTAAGCCCTAAGCCCGAAACCCTAAACCCTAAACCCTGAACCTCTAACTCCAAACCCTTAGGCCCTAGACTCTACAAGCCTAAAGTGTTTTGGACTACGAAGGCAATTTCTTCTGACGGCAAGGAGATGCACTAGCAAGAGCTTAATTTAGGGTTTACAGGTTCTCGGGTATGGGGTTTATTATAGAGTTTAGGGTTTTGTAGGGGATATGGGGCTTTATAGGGTTTATAGGGTTCAAAGGGTTTATGGGGTTGATAGGGTATATTGGGTTCGGTAGGGCGTATGGGGCTTATTAGACCTAGGTTACCCCCAAACCCTAAACCCTAAACCCTAAACCCTAAACCCTAAACCCTAAACCCTAAACCCTAAACCCTAAACCCTAAACCCTAAACCCTAAACCCTAAACCCTAAACCCTAAACCCTAAACCCTAAACCCTAAACCCTAAACCCTAAACCCTAAACCCTAAACCCTAATGACTTCCTGGGTAGACAAGGTTCGAAACTCTCCGAGTGGCTGGACGTGCTGGACCCTTCACCCTGGTTCGTACACGCAAACTTCTACAAGCTGAATGCCACCATTTTGTTTTAGGGTTTAGGGTTTAGGGTTTAGGGTTTAGGGTTTAGGGTTTAGGGTTTAGCCCTCAATCCTAATTAAGCCCGGATAGGAAAAAGCGAGGTGCCCTTTTGGGCTTAAACAGGGCTTAACAGGGAACCCAACCCCCCACCCCCCCCCCCCCCCCCCCCCAAAAAAAAAAAAAGAGAACAAGGGGCTACTCTGGGTCGCAATATAGGGGACCGGGACTCATGGACGAGAGCTCAGGACGAGGGTTTAGGGTTTAGGGTGTAGGGTTTAGGGTTTAGGGTTCCTGCCTAAAATCGGGCACCCCTGACCATGTAAGCGTTCAATCTAACGGTAAAATCAGAGACAGCTGCATTCGACTTACTTCCTTCGGCCTGTCGCATCCTAAACCCTAAACCCTAAACCCTAAACCCCAAACCCTAAACCCTAAACCCTAAACCCTAAACCCTAGACCCTAGACCCTAAACCCTAAACCCTAAGACCTAAACCCTAGACCCTGACTCAGCCCTAAACCCGAAGTCCCAAACCCGAAGCCCCAAATCCCCACATGCCGCCTTGATCATCCCCCCGGCGATTGAGGCGCGGACTCCATCTTATTTCTGTATGCGAACCTGAGTTTCGCAGCGGCTTTTGGGTGCTTGTCAACCCCGACACCCAAAGTCCCACAACCATCGGGCACGTCGTACCCTAAACCCTAAACCCTAAACCCTAAACCCTAAACCCTAAACCCTAAACCCTAAACCCTAAACCCTAACAAACCGAGGGGGGGGAGGCTTTCGTCGATCAGGGTTCAGAATCTGGGGTTGGTTGCTTGCAACCCGCGGCTTACAGGCTTTGGGGCCTCAGCCCAAGCTTGAGTCCTGAGCCTGTCAGCCTAAAGGACGGAACAGGACAACCCACAAAACCTCGAAGGATTTAGGGTTTAGGGTTTAGGGTTTAGGGTTTAGGGTTTAGGGTTTAGGGTTCTGAAATCCTATGAACCTCTAGCCACAAAACGCCTGATTCTGACAAAGCCACACCACTGCGGCTGCGTGCTCGGCAGCGTTTCCGACCTCACTTCACCGCGTGGTAGCCCATGAGCCCCATCTTAATCAGGGCACCCTTTTTGGATTTGGGTACTGTATAAGGGAACCCAGAACCAACAAAAAGGATGAAGGGTACCACCGGGCTACCAAGCTCGCCCTAAAATGCCCTAAAACCTTCCCCGGCCACCCGAAACGCCCAAACCCCTAAACAGCATAGTCAGCAGACGGATACGCGCAACACCCTGCTGGAATCCGAGAGCTCTGAATTTGCTTTTTTTTTTTTATATCTTGGATTTCGGAGCCCATCTGCCTGGGCTCTACTTGTGCTTTTCTTACTTCTTGACAGGGAATGAGAGAGCTCCTTCAACCAGAATCAAAAAGTCCCTGGCTATTCGCAAAACCTAGAAGAGTTGCCGAGCTCCTAAAGCAGATAAAGCAGATCCGAATCTATCTTTTTCACACGGTCCCCCAACACCTTCCAAACCCATTCCAGCTGCTTCCCCGCCCACCATCCCATCCATTTCGAGGACAAAGTTCGACCTCGGATCCTGGGTTCCCTGTAACGACTTTATTAACAGCTGGAGAAGTCCTAGTAAGAGGCGGAAGAGCTACATCAGCTCTTCTATCTCCTGTCTTGTCGAAAGACATACGAGCTGTCTTCATTCCTATAGGCAGTAGCGTTGCACAACGGTTCCTTGCCTTCTCAAAGAACGACTTCATTGCATGGTGAGTTTCTTGTCTTCTCCGCGGATGCCGTTGCACGACGGTTTCTTGTCTTCTCGGGGATCGATTTGAATGCATGATGGTTTCTGGTCTTCTTGGAGACCGATGTCATTGCATGACACCTGACGGTTTCTTGTCGAAAACTCAGTCTTTGTACTGTCTTGGTTTGCGTGTATAGATAATATGATTTGACTGTGGCCTATCCTCAACCCTAAACCCTGAACCCCATGGATCGTTGCGATGAATTGCGCTGTTTAGCAGCCGACTCGGGCCGGCTTGGGATTTCGCACATTCGTGGAGGTATCTAACAACAACCAAACAAGCTCCAACGGGATAAGGGTTCTAGGGTTTAGGGTTTGGGGTTTAGGGTTTAGGGTTTAGGGTTTAAGGTTTAGGGTTTAGGGAACTTCGGATCCAGGTAACGGCCCCTGACACCCTGCACCCGTAAATTCCCTCAGCCCCAAACCCTAGAACCCCAAAGACCTAGACATCCAGACGTCTGGGGGTTAAGGTTTAGGGTTTAGGGTTTAGGGTTTAGGGTTTAGGGTTTAGGGTTTAGGGTTTAGGGTTTAGGGTTTAGGGTTTAGGGTTTAGGGTTTAGGCCTACAAGCCGATAACGGTGTGGCCCCCGACGATGGGCACCAGTATCCCGCTGATAAAGAGAATTGGCATGCCCAGGGAAGACGCAGCACCTCTCTTCACAAACGTTTAGGGTTTAGGGTTTAGGGTTTAGGGTTTAGGGTTTAGGGTTTAGGGTCTTCCCAACTAGTACTGCCCCTAAGGGTATAGTTACATGGCCCTAAACCCTAAACCCTAGACCCTAAACCCTAACCCCCAAACCCCCAAACCCCCAAACCCCCAAACCCCCAAACCCCAAACCCCAAGCCCGGTGTCGGGTCCGACCTCTTATTCTTTCAAAGCGGCATTACCCCGGCTTGGGCTTTATGGTACAAGGCTTCGAGTTCTCCTCTCTCACACCCTAAACCCTAAACCCTAAACCCCCCCCCCTAAGCTTGCCTCTTAGACCCTATACCCTAAGCCGCCGAAACCCCCTAAGCCCCAAAACCCTACATGCCCCCATGAAGGCCTGAGGAAACCTTAAGGACCAAGCCCTTTCATATGGACCACCAATTGTAGGCCGCTGGAGCCTAGACCAGCCCTACTCTGCAGGGTTTCGGCTTGTCGTGTTTAGGGTTTAGGGTTTAGGGTTTAGGGTTTAGGGTGTTTCAAAATATTCTGATATGGTATGGGGTTTGGATCCCGTTTATGCCCCCAACTTTTGAGTAGCATCTCCCCGAAAGGCCCCTGTCCCTGTGAGGAGGTTTCAATATGCGTGGAGGTCTAACGCACCGCCGAAGAAACAAACTCTAAACCCCAAACCCCACACCCCAACCCCTAAACCCTATAAACCCTAAAACTATTCCCTGATGCGCTGGGCCTTCGATTGTGTCCACAATCCACTGGGACAGAATCGAGATGAAAACCTGGCGGGGCGAAAGGTCAATAGACGCTCATACTGCTTCGGGTCTACCAGATACCTTGGTCGTTTGGCACTCGTAGCCCTAAACCCTAAACCCTAAGCCCTGAACCCTAAACCTCATGGGCTTGCAACCTACAAACTCCCAGGGGTCTCAGAGTTCCAGCCCTAAAACCGTCAACGCCAGCTGCGACCGAGGAGCTGTAATGATTCCCAGCCAGGTCACACCCCCCCAGAAGCCAAGAATGCCTGTCGGGCTGCTTTGGGTTTAGGGTTTAGGGTTTAGGGTTTAGGGTTTAGGGTTTAGGGCTTAGGGTTTAGGGTTCAGGGTTTCGGGTTTCGGGTTTCGGGGTTCAGGGCTTTAAATCCTAACCCCTGAATTCACTACAGCCCTAAGGCTCTCAGGACTTTTGCTTTAGGGTTTGTGCCTTCACAGGCCATTGGGGCTTCCATGTCGTTAGGTTTTGCGTGGGTTCAAGGTTTGAGGTTTAGGGTTTAGGGTTTAGGGTTTAGCTGCTGTCCTCACGCTCTACAGACTCAGTAACTTAGGGCTTTGCAGTTTCAGGTCCGGTCGGTGGTTGTTGGCATTGCCCCTTGCTCCATCACCCAAATCATCAAACTCGAGATGCGCCGTTTTGTCTTATAGGGTTTAGGGTTTAGGGTTTAGGGTGTAGGGTCTTACTTTGAATTTTCCATTTGCCTTGTATGTACATTACTTTATGCAATCCCCCGGAAGTACAGGGCAGAACCCCTAAACCCTAAACCCTTTTAGGGTTAGACCCTATAGCTAGAATTTTTGTATAAGAAGACACCGCGAGGCTCTTAAAACTGCGGGTACACATCCAAAGCCTGAAACTTAGATCCCCCACACAGAAGCAGGCCTGGTTCCTCCTCCTCCCCGTCCTTCGGACAGCGAAGGCAAACAAGACTAATCTCCAGAAGGCATGCCGTCGCCGTCGCCGTCAAGTCTTCACTAACCCGAAACAATAAACCCTAACCCCAAACCATAAACCCTAAACCTATACCCGAAACCCTTGCGAGGAAACTAGGGGGATTGGGACTCAGGCGGGGGGTTCCTTTCAAGACTCTAGAGGGCCAAGATTCCCGAGGTCTTGGCCAGCATGTAGGGTTTAAGGTTTAGGGTTTAGGGCTAGGGTTTAAGGTTTAGGGGACAGAGGGCTAGAGGGGAGAGCCTGGATAGCGTTGACGGGCTTTTAAGTATTGAGAACTGCAAGCTAGCAAGGAGAACGGGCTCAGGGCTGTGGACTCGGGGTCCTATACCCTAAGCCCCAAATTCAAGAACATCACCTGGGGTGGGGCTACTAAGCTATGCAAGCGCCCCAAAAAAATGCACTCCCGGATACACACCCAAAACCCGACAAAACGCTACACCCTAAACCCTAAACCCTATAAAAATAACCCCAAACCCTAAACCCTATAAACCCTCAAGGCCAGGAAAAAAACGAATTGTACGCGTTTCATTACGAGCAGCTCGTCATCCTTAAAATCAGGCAAGAGCACCGGACACAAAACCCGCAACAAAAAACCGACAAAACCTCCCAAACTTCCAAAACCACCCAAAACGAAGTCGGCAAGATTTCAGTCCTCAAAACCCGGCAAAATCCCCCCCCCCCCCCTCCCCCCAACACCCCCCAACACTTTTGACAGAAACCCTATACAATTCCAAACCTTCCAAAACCAGCCAACGAAGCTGGCAAGCAACAGCAAAAAACAAACCCCACCCAAAACCGGACAAAAACCTGCAAAAAAACCGGCAACACTCGACAACACTCCGGACACAAAGCCTATACAGTTTCTATAAACCCTAAACCCTAAACCCAAAAAGCTAAACCCTAAACCCCAAACCCCAAAGCCCAGTCCTCCGCCTCTTCCTCAAAGAGGTGCGAGTGGGTGCCCAGCTGGAAAAAGATAAGCAGGCCATACATGAGGAGCCTTGGCTGAGTCTCCACGTTGAGGGTTTAGGGTTTAGGGCTAGGGTTCAGGGTTTAGGGTTTAGGGTTCTTGGTTTAGGGTTTAGGGTTTAGGGTTTAGGGTTTAGGGTTTAGGGCTAGGGTTTAGGGCTAGGGTTTAGGGCTATGGTTTAGGGTTCATGTTAAGGATTTAGATTAGTGCTTTAGGGCTTGTATTGCTAGTATCCCCAAAACCCATCATCTGTACCCTCACCAATATACGAATGTGCGTTGAGAGCCCTTCATGGTAGTCGTTCAAAAGACCTGCCCCGCCTGATTTCCAGGAAATAACATGAAGAAGGTTTCCTGTTTCGGATTCGCTTTGGAGGGCTCTTATCCCAATGGTCCACCCCTTCGATAAGCAGAGAAGTTGTCGATAGAAGCTGCTGTGGAAGGCGAGTTCCAGTGAAATTACTTTGCGCGCTCAGAAAGTACTTACTGTGTGTAACCAGTGTAACCGATGCCCCTCCCCCACCCTGACGCCTGATCGGCTTTCTGCATGGATGTAGGGCTAGGGTTTGCCTACGCCCAGGCGTAGAGAAAAAAACCTAAACCCCAAACCCTAAACCCTAAGCCCTAAACCCTAAACCCTAAACCCTAAACCAGGCCCTCCAAGCCGGAAAAAAAAAACCGACTGCAGGCCAGGAGCATGGCAACTGCGACAAATCGGGAGTACCTTGCTTGCGCAGACCCTAAACCCTAAACCCTAAACACTTTGAAGGACCCTAGGGTTTACCCTTGATTCATTCTGGCCCCTGCTGAAAATGGTAGGTTTGTCGTTGATCTCCTCCTTCAGACTCCTGAATTTCGAGGTCAAGGGTTTAGGGTTTGGGGTTTAGGGTTTAGGGTTTGGGGTTTAGGGTTTGGCAGGCTTGAACAAACTGACAGTAGTGAAGAACATACGTAGTAGGGAAAGCCCTAAACCCTAAACCCTAGACCCTAAACCCTAAACCCTAAACCCCTCAACGCCACTCGATGATTCCGTGGATGGCATGCAGTAGACCTCGGACCGTCATGAAACCGAAACCCTAAACCCTAAAGCCTAAACTCTAAAGCCCCCAAATCACTATACTGAACTTGGACTCCTCGCAAAAAATGCCAATTTTTTGCTGGAACCTTGGGAACTTTGGTGCCCAAAAATGAAACAGAATCCGCAAACCCGAAACCGGAAACCCGAAACCCTCAACCCCCAGGATCATGTAGCTGCTTTCGGAACTATAGTACCTAAAACAGTAAGATTCAAAAATCAAAGTGAAAATAGAGCCCCAAGCATCCCTGGGACCATGTCCCCTGCTCGACACAAACTTGGCTGAACTTAGGAGGGTAGCTATAAATTAACTTTTTAGCTGCCTTCTTAAGAAAACCCAATAAACCCAAAAAGGCTCAGGATCTAAAGTTACAGTAAAGAAACACAGAGCAACCCTAAACCCTAAACCCTAAACCCTAAACCCTAAACCCTAAACATAAAAAGACTTAAAGAACCACGAAGCAAAGAGTCCCAGGTACCAAAGCGGCGCATCCCCGCCCGGGCGGTTCTCAGCCCTGGGAAGCGGGAGTTACAGCTGGCGAACCCCTAAAAACGCCAAAAAAACCCTAAAAAACCCCTAAAAGACCTAAAAAACCCTAAAAACCCTAAAAACCCTGAAAACCCGAAAACCTAAAAACCCTAAAAACCCTAAAAACCCTAAATACCCTAAATACCCTAACTAAAAACCCTAAAAACCCTAAAAACCCTAAACCCTAAACCCTAAACCCTAAACCAAAGGATTTCAGGATCCTGGGCCTCGTTGGGTAGGGCCGTAACATGGCACCCGCCGGGCGTAGGAGGGAGGGAGGGGGGCGTTGAATATTAGGGGGGGTTTAGGGTTTAGGGTTTAGGGTTTAGGGTTTAGGGTTTAGGGTTTAGGGTTTAGGGTTTAGGGTTTAGGGTTTAGGGATTAACACTATTAGGCAGTGTCCCAACCTGTAGCCCGATGCTGAAACCATACCTTTGCAGCAGAGAAGTAAACCGAAAAGTCAACAAAGCTGATTTCCTTTCTTGTCTTACCCCACATCAAACCGGGGGAATTTGGGTCATGGGGGAGAACAGGGAAACACATGACCATATGTGGTCAGGTGTCCCGTCGCTGCTTTCCCCCCCGCCCCGAAATCCTTGGACCCTAAGCCCAACACCCCGACGAGACCCTACTTGGTAGCACAGAAACTATCAAATAAGGGCACCTTTTCTTTGTTGGCTACTTTGAAAGGCAAACTTGAACCAAAAAAGGGAAGAAGGGTACCAAGCCGAAAGCTTGGGATGCTCCCCCCTTATACGAACAGTCCTTGATGGGGATGCTAAGGGGGCCTTAGCATCCCTATCAAGGACTGCTAGTGTAAGGGGAACATCCCTAAACCCTAAACCCTAAACCCTAAACCCTAAACCCTAAACCCTAAACCCTAAACCCTAAACCCTAAACCCTAAACCCTAAACTGAGCTTCGAGCTCCAGATTACCACCACCTTTCAGCCAGCTCGGCACTTGGAGGGGATTCTTCATCGTGGAGACAACCTGGGACAGGGCTTTGGGGGTTTAGGGTTTAGGGTTTAGGGTTTAGGGTTTCGGGTTTAGGGTTTAGGGTTTAGGGTCTAGCGTTGAGGGTTTAGGCGGGCGGAAAGCTGCTGATAAGCATTTTGTGTTGGGCGTTGGCTGTTTTAGAGGGTGTGGGCCTGGATGCTTCTGAACGATAAGGCTACAATGGGGTTCTGGTATAGACTATAATTGCTTGAGAACCCCCCCCCCCCCAAAAAAAAAAAAAACAAATAAAGGGGGTGGAAAAACAAGAAGCTTCTGATGAAGGCAATATAGGGATGAGTATTTGCTTTTGTGGGGGCTCTTAAGGAAATAGTAGCTTAGGGGGGCATGGGGTTTGGAGGGGTACCCTAAACCCTAAACCCTAAACCCTAAACCCTAAACCCTAAACGCTAAACCCTAAACCCTAAACCCTAAACCCTAAACCCTAAACCCTTTCTTGGCTTGAACCTTTGGGATGGTTACTTTATAAGGGAACCTTGAACTCCAGAACCTTCCCAAGCCCGCGCGGTCTGTCGCCCAGGTTTGAGGTTTTGGAAGGCAACCGGCCAGGAGAACTTGCGGGGCTTGGTGGCCCAGTACCCTAAACCCTAAACCCTAAACCCTAAACCCTAAACCCTAAACCCTAAACCCTAAACCCTAAACCCTAAACCCTTTCTTGGCTTGAACCTTTGGGATGGTTACTTTACAAGGGAACCTTGAACTCCAGAACCTTCCCAAGCCCGCGCGGTCTGTCGCCCAGGTTTGAGGTTTTGGAAGGCAACCGGCCAGGAGAACTTGCGGGGCTTGGTGGCCCAGTAAACCCTAAACCCTAAACCCTAAACCCTAAACCCTAAACCCTAAACCCTAAACCCTAAACCCTAAACCCTAAACCCTAAACCCTAAACCCTAAACCCTTTCTTGGCTTGAACCTTTGGGATGGTTTCTTTAGAAGGGAGCCTTGAACCAAAAAAAAGGCAAAAGGGTACCACTGGGCTACCAAGGGGGTCGAGGACTTGGGTTTAGGAAGCCTTTGAGAGTTCAGGGTCTCGGGCCTTTCCATGGTTTAGGGCAGCACTACCACCAGCACTAGCAGTAGGAGCTGTGTGAAATGAGAAACGTCACCTTGTGCATCTGGACCATCAGAAGCTAGAAGGTTCGTGGAGTAGTTTTGGGTTTCCGAGGGCTCTATACGGGTTTACAGCTTTCGGAGCTTTAGGGGCTGTAGGGGTTTCAGGAGCAAAGTGTGCTTAAACTGAAATTAAGACCCCCCCCCCTCCCCCCGACCCAAGCTCCATTAGCTTGCCCACACCGATGACGCCGGCAACCTGTCGAATCAAACTTCGGACATTGTCGGCCCTATCTAATCGTATGTCCTTGAGGGCTTCAAAGCTAGCCCAGAAGTCGCAGCCATCATCCTCACAGGGGTGTTCACCCCTGGCAACTGTTTCGACAAACCAACAGCCGACACCAAGAACAACAGCACAACGAGAGCGGGGACAGGTCGCGTGGCTTGTCTTGTGCCCTTGCATGCCCCTTCATAGAAACCATGCAGGGCTGCAGTGAAGGACTGCTCATAACCCAGAGGGTCCATTTGCAGTACTAGGATGGAATTAGGTACCCCAAAACCCTCTTTAGTATGCTTTTGTGGGTACCCTATTCCATAATAGTACTGCAAATGGACCCTCTGGGTAATCAAGCCGGTATGTTAGCTGTGGAGATCGAGCTTCTCCAGCCACTCGACGACCCGCCGCTCCAGTGTCAAATGCCAGTTTCGTCGTGTTGGACATCAGAAGCAGACTGGCCCAGTCAAATCTGTGGCGGCTTAGGGTTTCGGGCAGTTTCGGGTTTGGCGGACTAGGGGTTTAATTTGGGTTTTGGGCCTTATATGCACGGTTGGCGGTAGCTAGGTGCGGGTAGACTGCCTGCGGTGGCGTCCCGGACGATCCCTATCATCTTGCAAGTTCTCAGTTGGGAATTCGGAACTTCCGCACCGTAACCCTAAACCCTAGACCCTAAATCCTAAACCCTAAACTTTAAACCCTAACCCTACACGGCCCTAAACCCTTGCGTATCCTCCCCTAGGGAACCCTTTAAGGAATCCTACGGGGTACCATATGAGCCCCAAAGCCGAAACCCGATCTAAATCCTTAAACACGGGCGGTTTCACCGAACTTCCCGAGTCCCTAGTAAGACCCGGTGAGTCAAGGTCGTTCCCGTTCAGGGTTTGGGAGATTAGGGTGTAGGAGTTGGGTTCAGGGTTTGGGAGTTTAGTGTTCAGGGTTAGGAGTTGGGTTCAGGGTTTGGGAGGTTAGGAGTTTAGGGGTTTGGGAGTTTAACGCTTGTTTGAGGAGTCTCCTGGGTGAGGTGGAGTCAACAAACTCACCGCCAGGGAGCCGGTATGGTCTGATTCACCATGATCAGCTCCGCATGGGACTGGGTCGGAAGGGCTTTGGGGTTTAGGGTTTAGGGTTTAGGGTTTAGGGCTTAAGATTCAAGCGCCCTACCCTAAACGCTAATACTGGTTTGGCTGGTTTACTCTTCTAATAGACTACAGCAACGTAAGAGCGTAGAGTGGACGTCTATGTTTGGCGGGGTCTGGGGTTTATCGCTTAGGGCTCAAGGTCATGTTGAGGGTAAGACATGTGAGTAGGGCGACGACTAGGCGTCCCCCTTCCTGTCGTGTCGCAGGGGGTGGATTGATAAGTCCTCAGCCCTCAACCTTAGAATCCTAAACCCTAAAACTCCAAACCCCCTGGAAACCCTAAACCCTAAACCACTAAACCCTAAACCCTTAACCCGAAACCCGTACATGCCACCTTTGGAATCCCCGTGCCCTCTAAGTTCAGGGTCGGGGGTCGGACCTAAACCCTAAACCCTAAACCCTAAACCCTGAACCCTGAACCCTAAACCCTAAACCCTAAACCCTAAACCCTAAACACAAGAATTCAGGGATCCCTCTGGCGTCAAGTACAGAAAACCCTGAGCCACAAGCCGAAAAAACTCCGAAAGAACCCAACATTCGGTGAGGGGGTTTAGGGTTTAGGGTTTAGGGTTTAGGGATCACAGGGCCATGCTGGCTTGGGGGTCTAGATGAGGGGCCCTTATTTACCCTAAACCCTAAACCTTAAACCCTAAACCCTAAACCCTGATCTGCGATCGGTCGTGGCACCTTTTGCGGGTCTGTAAACAGCCGGATCTTTTGTCGGCAGCACGCTGAACAAACAGTTGCCCCAAGAAGCTTTTAGGGTTTAGGGTTTAGGGTTTAGGGTTTAGGGTTTAGGGTTTAGGGTTTAGGGCTTTGAACCATTACTCTTGTCTTACGGTGGTTTCATGGCCTCTTCGTATGGGCCCTTCATATACCCTAAAAACAACCCAAGGGTCCAGACTTCCGAGCCCTAGAAAGGAGGTACGGGACCATCTTAAGGGTCATGAGAGAATATGCTCCTAAAGGGGATAGGATTAGGGGGACCCTTGGGGATATAGACCCTCTGAATAAGGACCCTGTTTAAGAGAACCAGAAGAGGGTTAAGAAGGGGTTCCCGTTTAAGGGTCCCCCTTATCCTACCTACGATCCTAGCACGTTGGAGGGTTTAGAGCTCAAGCTCAGGGTTTTGGGGGCCTTGGAAGGACCTGACGTTATCTGCCCAACCTTAAGCAAACCCCTAAGCCCTAGGGATGCTTGACTCGGTTGCTCAGTAGACATGCTCTCAGATAAGGGTTGCAGTTTCAGGGTGCAGGGAACTGATGCTGGCTAGTTCTGAAGCCAATCCAACCCCAACCCCCAACTCCTAAACCCTAAACCCGAAACCCTACCCCCTTACCCCTAAACCCTAAACCCAAACCCCTTACCCCTAAACCCTGAACCCTACACGCTAAACCCTAAACACAGAACCCAATTTCCAAACGCTTTGCTGCTATTCCTCGTAGTCTGGTGCCCTTGGTCTTAGTTGCTGAGTTCATAAGCCCCAAAAAGTGTACACTTTCATTTCTATAGGCGATTATAGTATCCCCATAAGTGTAAAGTGTACTCACTCAACTACAGCCCTAAACCCTAAACCCTGAACCCTGAACCCTAAAGCCTAAACCCTAAACCCAAACGAATTAGTATTGTATGCATGGGCCATAAGAAGTATATTGTAAGCCCGTGAACACAGTGAATATAATTATAAGGCCATATGAAGGAAATGAAGCATGAAGGCCGGATAATTATATGAACGAAGCCCCGAATTTAATAGTAAATTGCAAGGGCTAGAAAAATCGTAATATTTTATGAGGCCCTTTTGTACGTATTATTTGGTATTTTGGAAATCTAAACATTTAGAAGTTACAGATTCTTTTGGTTTCTTATTAATAGTTCTTGGTTATTAATCTTTGCTCTTATTATAATTCTATTTATATTTACAGGATTTAATATTTATTGTTGGACTGGAATTCACTTCTCATAGAAGTATTTTTTATTTTATCATCTTTGATTTGGATTAATTTACAGTTTTCATAGTTGGTCTAGAGATTAATTAAGAGAATTCACTAAAAAATGTGAAGTCTTATTAATAATATGTTTTCTTCTTTTTTGGGGGTCTTCTAGTTTCTGAAGCTCCATTATTTGTATCCTTCTTTTGGACATCTGTTCATCTATTATCTTGTCCAACTTTAGGGATGTGGCCTGGAGAAGATTTCTATCTTCCAGATCCTTGTGAATTAACTTTTGCTAATGCACTTCTTTTATCTAATGCTGCTATATCTTTAGGAAATGCTTTTATTAATTTAGAAATTTCATCACAATATAGTATTTTCTTCACTTTGTGGTCATTCTATTTATCTTCTCTTTTTATTAGTTTGCAGATTAAAAAAAATTTCGTATTCTCGCATATTCATTTAATGATTCACTTCATAGTTGTCTTTTCTTTTTCTTGCAGCATTACATTTCTTTCATCTAATTCTTGGTATTTTACTTCTTTTTCTTATCTTCTTTTCTTGTACTGGTTTCGTTCCTAATGTTCTTTGTGCCGTGCTTTCGTCCTTTTCATTCACTACATTACGCACTTCTTCACATTATTCTCTCCACACTTCGTTCGCAATTATAATGTAAATCATGCGCTACATTCATATCTTCATTGCGCTTATAATTACATTAAACATGCTCTCTACGTCTTATTATTAGTATTAGAATTCCCGGGCTCGTTGCTTCGCTTGTACATAATATATGCCCGGGTGAACATAGCGAAGTTAGGGACTCAAGGTGTGATGGGTGAACCGCCATGAAGAATTAGTACCAAGAATGAGATGGAAAGGGTGAATCTGCTGTTTCCTTGTCAAGAGAGTTCCCGCAAAGTTGGATAATAGGGTCTCAATGTTAGGTGCGTGATGAGTCTAATGATTATATCCTAGATCCAGAGGTGAAAGTTAACCCGTGATGGAGGTACAAGACTGGGATATACACTGTAAACTCCAAACGCTTTGCTGCTATTCCTGGTAGTCTGATGCTCTTGGGGCGGTCGACTGTCTGGCTCCAAAACTTGTCACGACGGACCTCGACAAGCCACGCTCCAAGTGCGGCGTTTAAGAGTCTTCAGCTTAGGGTTTTTAGGGTTCAGGGCTTGGGTTTAGGGTTTAGGGTTTAGGGTTTAGGGTTTAGGGTTTAGGGTTTAGGGTCTAGGGTCTAGGGTTTAGGGTTTAGGGTTTAGGGTTTAGGGTTTAGGGTTTAGGGCTTAGGGTTTAGGGTTTAGGGTTTAGGGTTTAGGGTAGAGGGGTTTAGGATTTATAAGGTAGAGACTCATCAAGGGACCCCATTTTCGGAGTTTAAGGGTAACCACCTATTTCTAAGCTGCGGTTTAGTGCCCTGAACCCTGAACCCTGAACCCTGAACCCTGAACCCTGAACCCTGAACCCTAAACCCTCAACCCTAAACCCTAAACCCTAAACCCTGAACCCTGAACCCTGAACCCTAAACCCTGAACCCTAGACGACTCATGAGCAGACGGATGGAGCCCGCACTTGGCGTGCACTCTAGCTAAGATATGCCCAAGGTGTCGAAACGGACCCCCTACCCTCAACTCTCACGCCGGCTTAGGATTGTGGGCTCTGCTGTTTCGATGACAGGGTTTAGGGTTTAGGGTTTAGGGTTTAGGGTTTAGGGTTTAGGGTTTAGGGTTTAGGGTTTAGGGTTTAGGGTTTAGGGTTTAGGCTTAAGCTCTGGAGGATGCTGGTCAGCATCTTCCAGCGGGGTCCGTTTATGAACCCCTCGTGAGCCATTCAAATCAAACTATGGTGGAGGAGGGGAGGCACCAGTCGCACCGCAGAACCCTACTTGGGTTTGGTTTAGGGTTTAGGGTTTAGTGTCTACTGAAAAGGTTCATGGTGCGTATTAACCATTTAGAACTGTACATTAAAAATTGTACTTAGAACCATATTAGGGCAGTTAAGGGGCTTCTAAGTGGGTTGCAAGTACAGCTATAATTGGCTAATAAGTACCATGAACCTCCAAGTAGACACTAAACCCTAAACCCTAAACCCTAAACCCTAAACACCCCCCCCCCCCTCTCCTTTGTGGTGTCCTCTTCGGGCAAGCACCAGTCTCAGCTCTTGGCCGATAGCATAAAGCACTTGGGCACCCAGCTGACGGAGTGGCAAGGCATCATTTGAAAATATAGGGTTTAGGGTTTAATATGACCCATGTAAATCCAAGCAAAGAAAACATGAAGGTACCCCAGAGTCCTCCCTAGCGCTAGGCCCTATGGGGCCACTGGAACCCTGATCCCCACACCCTGAAACCGCAGCTGGGCTTAGG